GGTTCTCATCAGAACTTGGGGAACACAACTGCAGCCAAGCCCTCGGGGGGTTTAACAGACTCCAACCTTCTCCTCTGAGCATTACCACTTCTCGGCTGGAGCTCTGATTAAGCTTACTGTCATCCATCAGCTTCCCCGAGATTTCAAGATGTCGGCTACGCTTGTTTCGTATAGCAGAGGAAAAGCTGCCCGTGGCCTCCTGTTGGGGGCGGCCAGGCACCGCTGGAGTTGTGTGAAATGCCCTCACTGCTAACAGCTGCTTTGATGCCTCCCAGACCCACTGGGTTCTGGCTTTAAGGGTTCTGGCGGTCCCGCTAAGGCTGGAAAACTCGTGCTCATTCCAGGTCATTTTAAGATGCCACACCTGCTCGCGGATGGATCCCTGTACAACATCTCCACCATGTGGCCGTCCAGACCTCTGCAGCGGCATCTCCAGTGACAACAAAGTCCCTATGTCCAGAGGCAACGCATTCTAACTTCAAACGACTTTATTAAAACCCTACTTCAGACTGAGCTTTAGCACCAACGCCAAGAGCCAAGTTTACGCCTCTGAGCCAGTTAGAACAGGTCTAATTGCAGGTAAGCAACTGAGCGTAGTAAGACTCCGTGCTCCTGGGTCTGGTCGGGACTGAGCGAGTTGACCTCATCTGCCTGTCGTTAAGAATGAAAACAGTCAGTAGACAGCGCCTCCTCCCTAAAGATGAGAACGGGGTGTTTCTGTGCACGGAAACTCCTAGGTCACAGTCATCATGGTCATTATCACTTTCCCTTTCTTCTTCTGCTTGGCAAGCCTTCAAGCATTGGGAAACGCCTGTCCTGTTTCTTCTACACCTCCTCCCATCCTGGGGAAACAACTGTGCCTCGTAGGACAGGCTCTCGAGACCCTTTACCATCTAGAATTCACGTCTGCTTGTCAATGCTGCAGCTCGTCCCTCTAGCTCTAGTTGTTTTTGTATCACCCATGTTGGTTTAGGGACACACTGTGCCAAAAGCGTCCTCCATGAGACGGGAGGCACAGAAGAGACCCCCTCCCAGAGAAGCCTGCCCCTGTGATAGTGCCAACCACGGCCCCCGACAGTCAAGCAGACAGGGGGGCCCAGGGGAACTTCGGGAGCCCGCCCAGCCACCCAGCCCTGACCATTACATCAGGGGGATGGTTTCCCGCTCTCCCCACCTGGCACTGGGGAGAACCCTCTGGAAGCTTGGCTCCCTGCAACTTCCGTGCCTCATGTGGGCCCAGGAAATGATGACTACAGCGGGGACAAGTCTGGATAGCGCTGGATGCGGACCGTCTAGGTTACCAGCTCGGACTTCGGTCACTGAACACCACAGCCTGGGGGCCCACACAACGAGCATCTATTCTGCTCAGCTATGGGGCTAAGAAGCCTCAGATCCCAGCGGCAGCACACTGGGTGTCCGGTGAGAAGCCCCTTCCTGGGTCATAGCTGGCTGTCTTCCCACTCACATGTGGAGGACGGGGCTCTCTGAGGTCACCTTGTAAGGGCACTAATCCCCTTCAGGAGGGCTCCAGCCTCAGGACCTAAGCACCTCTCCAAGGCCCAGCCTCCTCGTATGAGCACACAGAGGGTCAGGATTTCAACCTAAGGACATAAACATGCAGTCCACATCATGGCTTCTCCCCTTGGCAGTCCCATCTGCCAAGAGAGCAGTCTGAGTGTTTTCTTCCCTTCCTTTTATTAATTCCTTTCTAATCCTGAAGAATCATCTTTCCACCGACAAAACTCCCTGCGTGCAGGGATGTGGCTGAGGCTCCGCTGTTACTCGGCCCTGCCCATGTCCCCAAGAACAGGACGCCCACCTAGGAGGACTCCTGCCGCTGGTGAAGGCTGGGTCCACGTTCAGAGCCCTCTTGACTTGGTACAATTGCCCAAACGCCACTCTGGGAGGGAGTAGGGCCTCCGCTCCTGGGAGCTCTCCGTCCCTCTTGAATACTCCAGACACGCTTCTGACCTTGCCAGCGAGTGCCTTGTCCTGCAGCACCTTCCAGACAGGGGGCAAGGGCTCAGGGGCGCCTGCATTCCACACTGCCAGGCTCCCTTCCCCAACTTGAGCCTCACACCCTCCTGCCTCGGCCAGGCTGCCATAGGGCACATCCCACACCTGTGGGAGAGCAACAATGTGGGTCTGTCACCTCACGTAAGATATCCAGACGTCAGAGGCTCCGGGTCAGTTCAGCAACTCCGTGGTCTCGCCAAACACCTGGAGTCTGTCCATCTTTCTGCTCCACCAGCCTCCTGGCCCCCATCTTCACTTTCCCCCTGGTGGCTGCAAAACAGCCATAAGGACGGCAGAGACCGTCCTCAAGCACTTCCTTCTGTTCACAACAAAACCTTTCCCAAAGCTCCCAGCAGATGGCCCTGCAAACTTCATTGGCAGGAACTGGATCACATGCCCAAAGCCCACCACCCACCCTGACGCCCAGGAGATGGGCTCAGACAACTGGCCGGGCCCACGGTCCCTGAACACATCAGTGCCTGACCCCTGAAGCACTGGGGGTTCCGATACCAGAAAGTGAGGAGATGGCCATGGGATCGGAGAGAGCAGCATCTACACACCTTCAGGCGGGACAGGTGCCCGGCTCAGAGACCTGCAGATCTGGGTGCCCAGGCCAGGTGAGAAACACTCCGCCACCGCCCAGAGGATGGCAGGTGGTCTAGCAAACACACACTACAGCACAGGCTCGGAAGACGCCTGCACTTGAGCACATCTATGCCTTCACGACAGCTCTTTCCGACCCTGGGCCATCGGGGCAAGTCCTTGGGCAGACGCGTAGTATCCAGCCACGAGGTGGAAACGTCAGGAATCCTGCATTTTTTCTGTTCTGTTTGGCTGTGGCTTGTCACAGTGTACCCCATCTCTCAGCAACAGTGAATACGGTGTATCTGGAAGAGTCTCTGTTCTTAAATCTTTTAAACTTGGGTTTCACAGCCTCTTGGTGGAGCTAAGCATTTCAGAGAGTCTGAATGCCAGGATCAGCGGAGGGTCCGACAAAGCCCCCCTGGGACACCGGGGGAGGGCAGGGGTTGCAACCCTGGGGCCAAGCTCTTAGAGAAAGATGTGTACAGACAGGAATGTGCTGGTCATTGAGCCGAATGTCGACGGAACCTCCAGGTCTGGTCACAACAGCTCCTGTTCGGCTATGTCACCACTAAGCTCTATTTCTATTCTTGTTTGTTTGTTTGAACTTTAAATTTTATGAAGTTAGCACTTATCCCTGATATCAATCTGTCAGGCACTTTTGAGTCCTACTTTTGACATCAAAAATAGTAGCTCTCACTCCTTGCCTTGTGTCGTGTGCAAACTTAATCAATATCCTCAATCCAGTAACTGATCATTGAAACCAGCCAGTCAGAGAAGCCACGATAACCTCTACAATAATATTCTTACAGGTCACTTACGGGCTACTTGAAGGCCAGCTGAAAAAATCAATTAAAGATCTTACAAACTCCATGAATCTCCACACTTCTGTGAAATGGTCTATTTTATTCTGAGGTTGCAGGACCAGGCATCATCTAATTCTTGGGAAGCTTGGGAAGGAGAACTCCAAAAATGGCAAGTTACATATGCCTTTCCAGATAGCCTGATGCCTCCAGAAATCCGCCAGGAGCGTCTAGAAACTTACTGAATACATGCTTACTGAATACAAAACCCTGTCTCTACCGTCACACCTGCCCAGCAGGGAGCTATGATGGGTCCCTCTCCGAGCGTGCCCAACCAAGTCACAGGGCTGGCGGGAGTGACAGGGAGGCGCAGACAGCAAACTACACACCGTCGGAGAGAATTCGTTCCTCAGAAACTGGGGGCCATCGGGAAGGGATGGACAGTAGCAGCCAAAAACCTGACAAATGCCCAAGACTGTCCACACTGTTGACTTCTTTCAGAGAGCGCCACGCCACTAACATTCACTCTCGTATTTGTCTGTCTCGTTCTTCCAGAAGATACATGCCATGAGATTAGAGGCCTTGTAGGTCTACTCACCATTGAGTTGGAAAAGCTTGTTACACGGTAGATACTCGGTAAGATCTGCTGAATGAATGAATGAGTCTCCAGGTTGCTGCTCCTTTAAATGACAATTATCAAGCTGATCACAGTTTTAGGATTTCAGTTAAAAATGCAAACCATCTCATCTTATCAAACCTGTTTGGTATTTAGGTTACAGGGGTGTATGTTTGGGAGCTCGATTCTTTCCTATGATGCATAGGGATTATTCGAGGCACCATTTAATACTAATTTTCAGATACATGAAGCTTGTCTACTCACATTCAAAGGTTTTCCTTAACCTGTCTTTATCTAAATCAGTCAAGTCTCCTCTCATACATGAGAAATATTACATAAATGGCGGCTTTCATAAAGTCAAGAAGCGACTAGCAGAAACAATCCATACCTTTCTTTAGTACCTAAAATAACAAATACCACTTAGAGACTGAAGACTCTGTGTCGTGAGTTTACCCAGAAACGTCCCCTGTTCAGTGTATCATTATCCCAACGGGTCCTCGGGACAGCTGGGAAAGCAAGGCTCCATGAGGGGCAAGCCACTGGCGCCGGGCCTCCTGCTGGGGGCCAGGCAGGGATCTGCTGTCAGGGATGGCTGAACCCCAAGCACAAGACCGCTCATTTAGTATTAGGTTACTACCAACTACTCCACTCTATCCTGCAGCTTCTCTGAGCACATTTCCTCAAACCTGAGATCCCATCAATGCTGGCTGATGTGCAACGATATCATGACATACAACACAAAACACCACTGATCACAGACACAAAACACCACTGACTGGAAGGTTCATCACCATTTCAGAAATGTTCAAACGTGTGTCTGTGCACACACATTTACATACACACATACATATCTCAGATTCAATAAAATACAGTAATCTACTAGCCTTGGAACAAATGATTCCTAACAAATGTTATAAAATATGAGGGCCCACATGCTTCAGAAAATTAGTTTTTCCATGAAGTACAGAAAAGAAAGACAAAAATCCATAAATCTTAAGTATAAATGAAGTTAGAGGAAACTACAAATATTTGTTAAGACATACCCTCTTTAAAAAGTGTTGTTTTTTTTCTCATCTCTGGCATTAAATCATATTTTTTATAATGTCAGGAGCTGTTCACATCTTCCTGCACATCAAAATGACTATCACTCATTCATATTTTCACACATCTGAGCGCACGGAAGGACAGTAAGACCACCTTCTCGAATACAGCCTAAAAAAGGGACTTTAAATCTACCGGCTGTTCTTGACTTCTGTTCGTTTCCCAGAAGTTAAGGAAAGTAATAGTACTTCTTCATTCCATACCGAAGAAAAACATACTCTTTGCTGAAGACACAGCTGGAAGTCTCTGTAAAATCGAAGTCTCTGTAAAATCGAATCCTCTCCCGGGTACCCGTTGGGATATAATAATAAAAACACCCGGGAAACCGCGCTCAATAAAGTCTACATTTGAATGACGGGCTGGAAGCGCACGGGTCTCCGGGGCCCCTTGCCTCTCACAGTGCTCACGTCGTAGGCCCACACGGCGTCCATCCCCTCCCCAGTGATGTGGTCTGGGGTCCAGCGCGGGAAAGGGAACCGACAGGCAATGACTCTGGCGTCATCCTTCAGTTCGAGCATGAGTTTCTCCTCCAACTGCGGCATCTGTGCAGAACAACAGTCATTATTTCAGTAAGCGGTGAGTCGGAGGAAAAGATGCCCAAACATTCTTTTGGAGCTGAGTGCCTGAAAATACCTGTGCAAAAATTTGGAATCAAAGGGCGCCTGGGTGGCTCAGGCAGTGAAGCGTCTGCCTTCGGCTCGGGTCATGATCTTGGGGTCCTGGGATCGAGTCCTGCATCGGGCTCCCTGCTCAGCGGAGAGCCTGCTTCTCCCTCGCCCTCTGCCTCTGCCCCCGCTCGTGCCCTCTCTCTCTCTCTTTTTCAAATAAATAAAATCTTTAAAAAAGAAATCAGTAACTGTAAATAAGATCCCTTCGGGGCATAAATACATTATCAAACGATCCATTAAAACATGGAAATGACATTAACAACAGGGGCATCTGCGTGGCTCAGTCAGTTAAGTGTCCAACTCTTTTTTTTTAAGATTTATTTGAAAGAGAGAGAGACAAGACAGCAACAGAGATAGCGAGATCAAGCACAAGCGGAGAAGCAGGCTCCCCGCCAAGCAGGGAGCCCAACGCAGGACTCGATCCCAGGACCCTGGGATCATGACCCAAGCCAAAAGCAGATGCTCAACTGCCTGAGGCACCCAGGCACCCAGTGTCCAACTCTTGATTTTGGCTCAGGTCACGATCCCAGGGTCATGAGACTGAGCCCCACCCTCAGCAGGGAGTCTGCTTCAGATTCTCTCTCCCTCTGCCCCTCCCCCCCAAAAATGAAATAAAATACCCTTATTTAAAAAGAAACAAATAAAATGAGAAGCAGCTTTTTAAATTATCTGCCCACCTAACATTTTAATCTACCCTGTCTCAACTATTTAACACATTTTCCCACATGTCTTAACATCTCAGAAATCAGGATACATCTTACAGCTGACACAGTCTTAGAATTACAATTGGCCGTATTTTTTTCTTTCTCAGTAGCCATGCTACATCCTAAAATTAGTAGCATCTAGATTCGGTGAAATATGGTACTACTAAATTAGACCATGAAAAAATATACTCATTCTACTAGAAATATAATGAAATATTTCATAATTTTTCAAAATTTATAATGCACGGAGACAACGTCTTCACAGTCAACATAACTCATACAAAGTAAAATCCTCTTATTGATCACTTTTGTATCTTTTTATTACCAATCTACCTGCTACATGTATTGACACTGCAATTATATCAGCAAATTAACAACTGCTTAAAAATTGATCTTCCGATCCTACCATCTTTACCTCCTAAAACTACTTTTTCCACTTCTTTTAATTTGTTTTTTTGAAAGAATTTCAAAGTTACAGGAAAGTCGCAAGAATAGAAAAAAGGATTCCTGTCTTCCTTCACCCGGGTTCACCAATTTTTAATTGTTGATCATATTTGCTTTATCTGATTTGCCCTCTTCCTCTATGAATATTTTTCCTAAACCATTTGAGAATACACGTCCCTTCATTCCTTGATACTAAGACACAGCCCCAGCTCAGTCATCAAATTCAGGAAATTTAAGATTGCATCCCAGTAATGCCAAAAGCCTTCCAATTTTGCCAAATGTCCCAATAACGTCCTTTGTGACACTTTCCCCATGAGGTCATGCTGCATTTAGCTATGTTTCCTTAGTCTACTTTCATCTGGAACGGTTCCTCCATCTTCGTCTCCGTTGACACCATTTTTAGGAAGACGGGCCAGTTATTCACCAGTGGTCCTCACCTTGGGTTCTCCTGACGTCTGCTCACGACAACTCGGCACATGCATCTTGGGCAATGTCCCACAAGTGGGGCTGTGAGCTTCTCAGGGCCCCACTGTCGGGTGCCCACGGGGACCTTCTGCTTTGAGAGTGATGGTCACCACCCGGCTAGGGTGATATCTGCTGTCTCCACAGTGGGGTTACTAATTTCCCCTTATAATGAGTAATTTTTCGGAGGTAGCTTGAGATGATGTAAATATCCTTCTGCTCAAGGAACTGTCCCTCACTAGATGTAGCATTCTTTTTTTTTGACAGAGAGAGAGAGACAGCGAGAGAGGAAACACAAGCAGGGGGAGTGGGAGAGGGAGAAGCAGGCTTCCCGCCGAGCAGAGAGCCCGATGTGGGGCTCGATCCCAGGACCCTGGGATCATGACCTGAACCGAAGACAGTTGCTTAACCAACTGAGCCACCCGGGCACCCTAGATGTAGCATTCATTATGATTCTGGCCTGAGTTAATTTTCACAGTACGATTGCAAAGGGGCAATTTGCTAATTCTGTCATTCCTTCTAAACTGACAGTTGGCATTCTGGGGCAAGGAAGAGCCCTCTCCCTTCTTTCTACCTGTGTACCTATCACTCTAAGTACGAGCTCTTAGATTCCTATTCTGTTCAGTGGGTTCTAATCCACCATCATCCTTGTTTCTTCTGATGCTCAGACTGTCCCAGTGTGGCCCTGGGGAGCCTCCTCAAGTGGGACTCTCTCTCTACACTGGATGCGCCCCCAACAAATATTCTGAACACTTCCTCATATTTGTGCTCCACAAAATGCCCCAGGCTTTTCTATCGATCCCCCTCCTAAGCCCTCAGATCAGACACCTCTCAGACACTCCTGGCTCCTCTAAATGGGAAATGATATCTTGAAACCAAGATCTGAGCAAAAACTAATCCCTTTAAAACTAACCAAATAAATCAAGACAAACAAATCAATAGTCCTTCTATGAAGACTTTATTCCCGACCTGTATCTTTAAAAAGTGGCTGGTGGGAAAGTCCTCCATGTGACCTCTGGCTAGAGTGAACGAAAACTCTTGACTCTTCATGACAATACCAAGATAACCAAGAATAAATTCCATTAAGGATGGGATATTTCTACTCTTTTAATAGCCAATAAAAGATTTCTTCAAAAAAAAAAAAAGTTTTGTTCCTCAAAGGAAAAATTAAATAAGCAAAGAATGAGACAATATGTGTTTTTCCAAAATATCAGAGGTTTCTTACAGTAATTTTGTTCATCAAAAGGATCACTGTAAACGTATTCATGTTATTATTCTGTTCTCTTTTATGGTTTCTTTTATTTCCCAATGACTGTCATATGCTAAGTCAAGATAAACCCACAAATGAAAGGAGCTAGTTCAATGGTAAGAAATTAACTGAGTCAATCACACATAAATATGCAATGAACCTGGGTCTTGATATCACACACAAAGAGAGGCAGTGATGTGTCATGTCTGTCTAATGGAATTCAAAATTATTCACACAATTAGAGGTTTCAAAGTGACACAAACTCATCATATTCTAACTACATCTTCAAAACTTTAAACGTGAGCTGAAACCAGCACAAAGATATTAAGACCAAACAGCCATGCCCATGAGCAGCTCTTGATCCATGTGATGGCTCCCTCCTCCCCAAAACACTGGCTTCACTTGGCTTCTAGGGTAACCCCCCCCCCCCCGGCATTCCTCCCACCCAGCTCCTCCTCTCGACTCCTTTGCTGGGTGCCCCTCATTTGTCAGAGGCCAAAGCTCAGGCCTTGACCGGCTCTGCCCCCTCCCCGGGGAACCTCAGCCACTCCTGGGCTTAAACTCCTTCTGGGAGCTGATGCCCAGTCTCCAGCCCCCTCTCCTTCCTGAGCCCCCGACCGCCTCTACCCGCCACTGCCGACCTCACACCTCCACATACATCGAGGCATCCTGACCCTCCTCCTCCAGCGCCTCTGTTCGCACCTTTCCCAGCTCAGTAACAACTGCGAACTTCCAGTTGCTCTCACCAAAATCCTTGAGGAATGGTTCCTCTTTCTTGCCCGCCCCACAGTGGCGATGCCAACGCATCCTGTCGGTTGCACCTGCATGCATCTTCTCGACGTATGCAGAACTTGACCGTTTCGAATTAGCTTCTGCACACCGGCACAAGCCTATCACACCAGCTGCCCAGCTGCCCAGCTGCCTGCAGGAGCTCCTAACCTGTTTCCCGGCTTCTACCCACGTTCGGTCTCCACACAGCAGCCTGGGGTCCTTCGCAACCCAGGCAGGTCCTTCCCTCCTCTGCTCAAACCCGCCAGGGCTCCTGCCTTCCAACAGCACAGCGTCCTTCACGCCTGGCCCCTAGGTCCCCTCTGACGTCACCTCTCCCTGCTGCTGCTGGAACCTAAGAGGCACAGACCCCTGGGCACCTCCACGGTGGCTCTGCCCGGCACGTTCCCCATACCTCCACGCGTCCCCTTCCCAAAGACACTGTCTCTGCCCCTCCTTCTCCTGCTTTACTCCACCCCACAGCACTTACCCCCTCCTGTTGGACAACATTTTATTTTTTTTAAGATTTTTTTTTTTTTAAATAAGCTCTATGCCCAATGTAGAGCTTGAACTTACAAACCTGAGATCAAGAGTCGCGTGCTCTGCTGACTGAGCCAGCCTGGAGCCCTTTATGTAGGGACGTCATCTAATGTCTGCTCTCCCCACTAGCATCTAGGCACCTCGGGGCAGGAATGTTCCTCTTTTTCATTCACTAAAGTATCCCAAGTGATTAGAACGCAGTCTTGCACTTTGTGGCACCAAATAAATACCTGTCGAATGAATGAACGAAGGACACATGATCCCATCATGAATCATTTATCTTTATCAAAATATGATGATAATATTTATGTTTATCAATTCACAACATGATTCATAACTAAAATTAATCTTTGAAGTTATAAAATTTATAGCTCACCATCGGTGTCCTTACTGGGTACGTTTCATTCATTTCACAAGTATTTCCAGAGTCATTACTTTGTGCTGGTGCTGCCGAGCTGACGGAAAGCTCACTCTTGAACATACATTACAGCGCACACAGCAAACCGGCCGAGGCCACCACGTAAGGAAATGTGCAATGACTCACTCTAGAGAAGGAACAGGCACCAGCAGATAGAAAACGGGAGCACTGGGGTTTGTCTCACCGAGCAATCAGGGACGACTTCCTGGAGGAAAGGACACCTGACCTGTGAGTGGTCAGGAGGCATTCACCAACTAGGCCCAGAGCTGGGGGTACTGAAGCCAGAGGGAAGAACACAGCTCACACCGTGGATCCAGGGGCCTAGAGAAGGACAGAGCGCTGATGCACAGAGAGCCGAGGGAGGCAGGGGCCACTCCACACCAGGCCTCGGGCTCGGTGGAGAGGTCGTGCCTTATCTTCACTGCTTTAAAGCAGCAAGACGTCCCAGGTGGGTTTTACACAAGGACACAACTGATCTGTTTCACATTTTGAAAAGAGGAGCATGTGCTAGAGTTAAATGTGGGTATTTACCATGCTGGCGCTAGATTTACCAGATCCAGATGAGATTCCTCACCCCTGGTGGGTTAGATACACCAAAGCAAAGAGCTGTTAAGAACCATCGGTGTGGTATCGGGAGCAGGGTAGATGATTTACAACACCAGGCTTCTCCCTCTCCAGTTGCTGAAGCATTCTCCTGGCTCCTGCATGGCCTATATGTGGCTCACCTGCCACAGGAAACGTGGTGCTACACGGGCTCTGTGGAGCCACGTTGCCATGCCAACCAGTGCTCAGACAAGGCAAGTGCATTTCACTGGAAGACGGCCCCATCAGGGTTCCCAGGACTCCAGAGAGCAGAGCTGGCCCCCTGACCCCCCCAGGCAGCACTTTCCCTCCCCCTCACCGCCTCCACATAGGCAAGGCTCGGTGAGAGTCAAAAGCGGGGCCTTGCACCCACGAACGAGCCCCTGGGGGTCCTGTGAACAAGCCCCCTGCGTGGAAAACGGCCTGCTGGCTGAATCCCTCTCATCCCACGGAATGTGGCTGCTTCGTGTTTTCAGCCGCTCCCCTTTCTCTTGGGAACAGTAAGATGCCACAAGTTCTTAATTTAAAGTTTCTCTGCATACAGGAAAATGGACAATAATTGCAAAAGCATTCATCAAAAAAACAGGACTCTTATTTCCCGAGCGAACAGCTCCAAAAACTGACGATGCTCAAACATGGTAAGATGCACAAGGCGTTGGAGCCCACAGGTCACTGCTGCCCCTCCCCGCCCTCCCGGGATGGAGCTGCTATGACCTTGTAAGCCCACACCTCAGGCCACCACCGGCCAGCCTCTCAGGATGGCATGGAAATCGCAATAAACATCAACTTTCCCTTTTTATAAAGCATGGAATTCAAATTAAATCTATTTGCTCCAAAACACTGCCCAAACATCATCAGGAGTGGACAACGGTCAAAGTCCATAGCAGTGCTAGGATCCCAAACAGTTTGTTTTAAATGACTAGGGGTCACACCCCTTTTCATTTCTATAGCAAAAGGATGAACACCCACATTTCATCTTAATTTTAGGCTTACTGAAAATTCCAAACATACAGAATCCTGCTACTTTCAGAATATGTTAACAAGAGCACTTCTAAATCGACAGAAAAAAAAAAAGGTGGCATTGTACTGAAGTTCCTAGTAGTAAGAATAAATTTCTCAAGCACTGAGCCATCTTACACAAAAAGGTGTGACTAAGAAAACAAATAAACAAAAAAGTAAATTTCCCTTTTTTTATATTATAAACCATACATATCAGTTATATAGCAGTATTTCAGCAAACATCCAATTTTTGCCACGATTATTATGGTTACAATCACAGAGCTTGAAAAGTCAAAAGGGATTTCTCTCTATGGTCTGTAAACGAACAATTACAATAAAAGCATCCCATCCTCATCATCTTTCCAAAAGCTAAATTTGGAACCATTTACAGCATGATGCCACAGTGTTTTCACTTTTTAAAGTATGTAATCTAAATTCGATACAAATCAGTCAGCTGAGGTCAACTGAAACTAGTCGACGCTCGCCCGCCCTGAAAACCGCCTTACCGCAAAACTGGAGGAACCATCGCTTTGAAGGGAACATGCCATTAACTCTCCCAAGTGACTGCAGCTGGCTGTTAGTGAGCAACCGCAAAACTCTCCAACTACATTAGACACCGGGAGCTCAGAAGGTAGTTTCCAGATTGGAGTTTTTAGGGCTTAGGTAGATCGTTGAGAATTTTATCTGCAGCAAAAGTTTTAACGACATGACTGAATCTTTTACGATTAAACTTTTAAGGCCCCGAGGTAGTGTGTCAAGCCAGTGCAGTGAAATCCGACGTCCCCCATCCCCAAATCTCTGGGGGGCTGCTGCTGGGCACACAGGAGGGCGGTCACACGGAGGTGGCCTGTTAGAGCTGGAGGGTCTACACAAGACCTAAAGCCAACCAACGAGGCGGAGGAGGACGCATACTCACCATCTGAGGCACACCGAAAATAATGACGTTTGAGTACTGCGAAAAAGTAACCTAGAGGAGAGGAGGAACGATGCACAGATTAGTTTTAAAAGGCCAAACATCAAGCTTAACCTTTGTTTCAAAGGGTGCAGCAATGTCCCATTTTGTCAAATAGTAGGTTTTCACAGAGTGACTCCCTTTAAGACCTCACGAGAAGAATCCATGTTTATGCTTCTGTTAATTCAATCCACTGCAGTTGTCCAAACACCTCCCCTAAGTCACTCCTGTCACCCTCAGGGATGCTCCCAGAAGGGCCCACCCAGGGGTCATCTGTCGGAAACGCCAGTGACTCATCCAGTGACCAGCTGGTGGCCGCGCCGGGTGCTCTGGGCCAACTGTGCCCTGATCCACACTCTCTACTCTTCTCCACCATATGCCAAACTAACTCAGCAAGAACGTGTGACATCGGACAAGCACCTGTCTTTTATGCTGAGCCATCCTTAAAATTCTAGTCCCCTTCCTCTTCTCTAAAATACTAAGTAAAAAATGGAATAAAATGATCTTTAGTTGAAAAACTGGGGGGGAAAGTGCTTTGCCAGTCAAAATTCTTATTGCCCAATAAAAGTCTTATTTACTCTATAGAGAAATTGTTTATGTATATACGGTATAGAAAACAATGCAAGCAATACTCAAGTGAATTTTTATAAGCTACTGATGACAACATTACAACGGGAAATTCTTATTTAAGAAAAAGCATTTTATGGCACATTCCTAAAACAAAATTACAGGACTTTTTTTTAGAGTACAAATAAACTTGGAAGTTATCCTATACATTATGAAGACCAGAAAGAACCATGACAACACAGTCAGTGGATTCTGTCTTTTGTATTCATCTCTCTATAGACTCACACATACACACGCAGCGACACAGAAACTTGCACACAAGAGAAAAGTCTGCCATTTACCAAGAATGACATGAACAAATTAATATCTATATTATAATTTATAAGATTTCCAAATGAGATTTAAAAAACCTCATCATTTTGTAACAAAGAGAAATGAGAACTTTCTTAAATGAGCAAATTCTTGGAATTCACATAACCCATCAGGTCTAGAAACCTTAAGCTTCTACTCTAAAAGAGTTCATTTGTAAATCTATCAATTTAAAACGTGTTCACATTTCATCATGCTGAAATATACACTTGTATTTTAACTGTTTTTTTTGATACATTCTTCAGTTTTTAATTATACTAATTACAAATTACAAAGTTTTGGCTGGCATTTCCTAGGACCATTCTCTGCCTTACATACCTTCCACAAATCTGAAATATAAAATTTGGCAGAGCCGTGCACCCCCTCTTGCCAAGCACGGTATCTGGAGTACCAAACTAGCCAGGGGTTTAATTCATAACCAACGGCTGTGAATCCTGCTTTTGCAGCTGCTATCACCTGCAAAAACAGACCAGTGTTTATTCAAGGTAAGAAGAAAAACATCGACCTACGGAATGGGAGAAGAGCTCTGCAAATGACATCCTATAAGGGATTAGTATCCAAAATAGGTAAAGAACTTACACAACTCAACAACAAAAACAAATAATCCAATTAAAAATGGGCAGAAGACATGAAGAGACATTTTTCCAAAGAGACATGCAGATGGCCAACCAACACATGAAAAGATGTTTAACATCATTCATCATCAGGGAAATGCAAATCAGAACACCACCTCACACCTGTCAGAATGGCTAAAATCAAAAACACAAGAAACAAGTGTTGGTGACGATGCGGAGAAAAAGGAACCTTTGTGTACTACTGGTGGGAATGTGAATTTGGTGCAGCCAATGTGGAAAAGCACGGAGGATCCCCCCAAAATTAAAAGTAGAATTACCTGATGATCCAGTAATTCCACTACTGGGTATCTACCCAAAGAACATGAAAACACTAATTTGAAAAAATATACGTACCTCTTTGTTTATTGCAGCATTATTTACAATAGCCAAATTACAGAAGCAGCCTCAGTGTCCACTGATAGATGAATGCATAAAGATGTGGTGTACATACATATATACAGTGGAATATTACTCAGCCATAAAAAAAAGAATGAAAGCTTGCCATCTGCAACAAACGGATGGATCTAGAATGGTACGATGCTAAGTGAAATAAGTCAAAGAAAAACAAATCCCATATGATTTCACTCATATGTAGAATTTAAGAAACAAAACAAACGAACAAATACAGAGACAAACAAAAAAAACCAGACTCTTAAATACAGAGAACAAATTACTGGTCACCAGAGGGGAGGCAAGTGGGGGAAATAGGGGAAGGGGATTGACAGCACACCCACCATGATGAGCACCGAGTAATGCACACAACTGCTGAATCACTATATTGTACACCTGAAACTAATATAACGCTGTATGTCAACTATACTGGATTTTAAAAAATAAACTTAAAATTTTTTAATTAATTTAAAAAAAAGAAAAACAGCAACTTAACGTGGTCCAATGATATGACTACTTCCTATTTATGGTCTATAATCACAAAATGTCCAATCAAAAGGCACTTCTGTTGAAAACACCATTTACAGAGAGACCTCTAAAACTATGTAGCTTGTAGGCCAGAAAATGCTGATTTAAACTCAGTTCATGTTTCTGTCAGAGATTTCACCTCAAGCATCACAACTGTCAGGTTTGCTTTGGATAGAGCATTTCTGGATTGGCCAACCCCTGGCTCAGACCGACGAGAAGTTGCTGAAAATTCACTGTCTCTCTCCATCAGTGATGGTATAGTGGCAGGCAAAATGAATCTGCCGCTATGGGAGAATGTTTTGTAAACTAGTTCTAATGTGTGATCAAAATGACCTGTCAATGAGAACCTGCAACTGCTTACACATCTCCTTAGTATTTAAAGACTGTTCACTCAAAAGTTGAAAACAGGTAAGAGTAAAATGGAACAAGTCAGAATAAAGTCAACTGTAGAAGGCCACCGGCCTCTGTAAGGTGAGGACAATGGGCTGGTCCTGGGGTCTCTGCTCATTCTGTCTTGCCACCACTCCTCAAGGGAGCATCTCTGAAGGAGCTGTCTGCCCACAGTAATTTCTCTCATTAACTATAGTGTCACCCCCTTAAGAAGTAAAGGAAACCACAAAGATACTACTCAGATGTGTAAAGCATTCAAAACTGGGTTCTAAAACTTCCTCCTGGTTCACAGATATACCTCCTGATTTCCTAAAAACAAACGAGTTATGTTTTAACCTTGTCCTGGCCATTTGGGTCACCATGAGGATGCAAGGTTCACGACCCAGGGGGTGGTGAAAGGAGTCACACCCCTACTGGTCTCCACCCAAATGTTTCCAGAACGTGAGGCTTGACTACTGTTATCCTCACTTTCTGAGTCATCACTGGTTGGAGGCCTAAGGATGGTGCCACCATGCCCGTGGAGGAACGTGCTGGGGACACCCACTGGCCAGTCAGTGGCCCTGAATCTTTACTTATAGGTTCTCAGCTGGAGTCAGTGAGCTGAGATCACTAAAAGTCTGATCTTTCAACAAGTGAGGGCTAATGCACTGGCTCTTTCAAAAAACTCTACATCACCCCATAGGAATTATGATATATGTATAAACACAGATAAACGTAGAAGCAAACATCTATGTTAAACTCCATGACTCCACGTTTCCTCTAATTATACCACCTCTACTGGCCCGAGTTTTTTTATTGGAAAATTTCATAATTACCAATTAACTGCTCCTTTTTACCTGGCAAATATAGAGAGCCACTTTCACCTTTCAGAAAAAATAAATCTGAGAAAAATAAATTCCAATTCCTGCTGGAGGGTTTGAGAGTTTGGCCAAACACACCAAATAAACCACTACTTAATTATATTGTCAGATTAGCAGGTCTTGGCATAAATCTCAAAAGGTGAAGCTGGGATGGGATAGATAGGTGATGGGTATTAAGGAGGGCACTTGTGATGAGCACTGGATGTTGTATGGAAGTGATGAATCACTACATTCTACTCCTGAAACCAATATTACACTGTATGTTAACCACCTGGAATTTAAATAAAAACCTAGAACACAAAAAAAAGAAAAGAAAGAAAGAAAAAGCAACGACGCAGGAATTTTAAAACCTCGAGTTCGAGACCTTCAAGTGTCTCAACATAACTCACAATACGCCCGTCACCACTGCCAATATCGACCAGGGATCCTCTTCTGCAATGCAACATTTTCACAACATTTTCAATCTGCTTTGTAGTTGCAGGTACAAAAGGCAGACAAATTTTTCGGAGGGCTGGCATTAGAAACGGTGTGGCCACGGCATACACGGCCACCAGCGTCCCGCCAATAATCCCAGTAAATAGGAACCCCCAACTGCTTTTCTTCAAACTGTTGGTCCCGAGACTTGTAGGTAGAACACATCCTGAGTGACTTTCTTCGAGGACTTCCGGGGGTGCACCTAGATGGAAAGCAAGCAGGAAATATGTACATCGCACCAAATCTGAAATCCACGGTAGGTTTTTTTTCTTTCTAGAATTCTTACTGACAAACTCATACTGTTTAACGAAGGATGATTTAGCTGAATACAATCTAAATTACAACTGTAGGATTCCATGAGTTCTAAATTCCATCAACTAGAAGTGTTTTAGAGAAAAGTATTCAATTCTAATGGGAGACTGACTAAAATCTTTTCTTTCCAACTACTAATTTTTTTTGGAGTCATCCTTAGAAAACAATTTGGTATTTTATGAATTCAATAAAAATACACAATACGATGTTAACCATGAACTCCGTATTTTTATGGTTTAGAACAAAGGTTCACAAATAAGTATTAAAATGTCTAATTACTACCCTATTTCAAATAAGATGCAAAGATTCCACATCAAAATTGGTCCGGTATCTACAGTCCAGTTGCACTAATTCAAGGAGACCAAAATCAGGTTTCACCAAAAAAAAAAAAAAAAAAGTATGGTGATGAAAAGATTTTTAAAGAAGATCCAAAAGAACAAATGATACAATAATCATTTCAATGCACCAGTATGGAATAAAGCAAACTCCAGTCACTTGAAAACAAAGAAATGAATCATACCTGAAATACCCTCCTCTTGAGTTTTACCCTTTAAAATCCTCTTAAGAGGTTCTCAAGTTCCTGGGACTGAAACTGATTTGAAAATGATTTTGAAACTGATTAGGGAGGAGCCCAGCACAGCAATAAGAACAGCACCTGGAGGTGAGGACCTGGACTCTGCACCTGGATAACAGTATGACCCTCTCTGAGCTTTGGTTTTCTCATCTGTAACATGGGGATTACAGGGTCACTGAGCGGACGAAATGAATGGATGCAAGGAACGCACTTGGAACACTGCTCGGCACACGCTGACTGCGACCACCGCTGGCTACATGCTGAACCCCACAGGGAACAAGGCTGCCCCCAGGCAGCTCCCAGACTAGTAGAGCAGATAAGGCCCAAAACACAGAAATCATAGGAAACAGAAGACAGTAAGAGGGGGGAGAACAACAGATTCTTTTCATTTGAAGATGTTAACATCCATGGTTTCAGGAATTAGTAAGCCATTCAAAGGGCCCATTGGATTATTTTCCCAAAGATGCAGTGAGAAATTTTAGAGGGTTAAAGCAACACACACTTATTATCATACAGTTGGGGGTCAGATGTCTGAAATGGGTTAGCAGCACTGGGTTTTCTGGTAGCCCTAAGATGGGACGGATTTGCTTGCCTTTTCCAGCATCTAGAAGCAGCCCACACTCCTCAGCCCACGGCCCCCCATTACCCAACCTCTGCTTCCATCAGGACACCTTCTTCAGACTCTCCTGCCTCCCTTTTCTTTATAGGGACCCTCGTGAGGACATCGGGTCCACGTGGACAAGCCAGAATAATCTCCCCATCTCAAAGCCCTAACATCATCCCATTTATAAATTCTGTTGTGTACCATATTCAAAGGTTCCAGATTAGGACATGGGCCGGGCAGTGGGCTGGGGGGGTCTGTTACAATTGGGAAATGTGGTGATCTGTTACAATTTGTGAGGTACAGGGCGCCTGGGTGGCTCAGTTGGTTAAGCGACTGCCTTCGGCTCAGGTCATGATCCTGGAGTCCCTGGATCGAGTCCCACATCGGGCTCCCTGCTCAGCAGGGAGTCTGCTTCTCCCTCTGACCCTCTTCCCTCTCGTGCTCTCTATCTCTCATTCTCTCTCTCTCAAATAAATAAATAAATAAATAAATAAATAAATAAATAAATAAACAATTTGTGAGGTACAGATGTGAACACAGGACACACGAAAAGCTGGTCCTCTGCAGTGAGTCACTGCTCAAGGCCAGTGGCCAACTACCAGCATCTCACACACACTGGAGCTTTGTTCTTGACAGCCAAGGTCCCCTAAAGTGAATTTTAAAACTGGTTTCCCAGTGGAAAACCAACTCAGAAACAAGAACAACAAGAGTCTACTGCTGGTGCTAGAAATAAGATCAAAGTAAAGATTAGGAAGGTGATGGTGTTTGATAGAAAGCAAGAGTTTTAAATACATCTTCAGTTATGCCTTTCAGCATCACATGGAGGAATTTACATGCTATAGTAAATAGTCATGCATTTTATTGTTTTTTAAAAAGTCAAAGTACCATCTGCCATGCCTCTGCAAAATTATCCTGTGGGTATTCCGATTATACAGTACAGTGGTTAAAAGGATTTGAGTCATAAAGTTCCGGAGTCACAGAACTTAACTAGTGTGTTACATTAGATAAGTTTTGGCCAAGGCTCAGGTTCTCCACCTGCAGAATTCAGAAATAATACTATCCTCATGGGGTTATTGGAACAGTTAAATAAATAATGCATATAAAGCACTTAGTGCTCTAAATGAGAGAGTAAGTGATGACTATTAGCTGCTACTGTTAGTCTCAGTACTATGGGTACGGGGGGGGGGGGGGAGCTCCGTAACTTTTAACTGCTTCATATACCATGCAATGTGCCCATTTAACATGCATAAGGCAAAGATTTTAGTATATTCATAGATATGTGTAACCATCACCACAGTCAATTCTAGAACATTCTCATTACCTCAAGAAGAAACCCCTTAACCTTTTAGCTATCACTCCCCCCCCACACACACACACTCCTTCACACCTTAGACCTAAGCAACCATTTACCTACTTTCTGTCTCTACAGTTCCTATTCTGGACTTTCATGGGAGTGGAATCATACAGTATGCGCTCTTTTGTAACTGGCTTCTTTCGCTTAGCGTAATGTTTTCAAGATCCATAGATCAGTACAGTAGACCCTTGAACAACACCGGTTGGAGCTGCACAGATCCACTTAAACATGGATTTTTTTTTATACACTATTGTAAACATTTTCTCTCGTGATTTTAATAACACCTTTTCTTTTTTTAATTAACATCTACGCTAATAAGCATACAGTATGTAATACATATAACATACAAAATATGGTAACTGGCTTCCCATCAACATATTAGCAAAGTTTTGGGGGAGTCAAAAGTTATACATGCATTTTCGCCTGCACAGGAGGTCTGACTATACAAGTTTAGACTGCGCGGGCACCCCTAACCCCCACATTGTTCAAGGATCAACTGTACTTTATCACTTTCTACGGCCGAATCTAAGCCTATAAAATATTAGGTCATGACCAGTGCCCTTAAGCAAACGTGGCAGAAGAGATTTAGAGGGCCGAGTACTCTAGCTGTATCACGGTGCTCAAGTTACTGGACTATTTGTGCAAAATGGGGATTTCTTCAACAAACACTTAAACAGAACTTGCTAAGGGCCAGGCACTGTTCTCCCTGAATCCTTGCAGGAGCTGTGCAAAGGAGATACTCTTGTCACTACTGCCATTTTTGCAGGCAAGGTAAGGGCGGCACAAAGCCGGTAAGTCACTTCCCCGAAGACCCAGCTAGTCAGCGGCCGCGTTACAGGACTCCCACCAGTGTGACTCCAGTTCACAACTCCGAACACCGCGGGGCAGACTCCGTGAGTTATTCGCCCCAAAGCGCTCAGAGCCGCCCCCGGCAGCTAGATACCGGTGGCAGCGAGCGGCCCGCGCCCCGGGCACCGGGGGCTCCCACATCTGCCCGGCCCGACCTGGAGGTCGGAGGGCCCAGCAGCCCGCCAGCCCACGTGGGGTCCGCTCCCGCCAGCCCCCCATCCCGCCACCCCCGCCGGCTCACCGCCTCCTCCCTCCATCGCGAGACTTCCAGCGGCTTGAGGCGGGCGGGCGGCGGGGGGGGGGGGGGGGGGAGTGGACGGAGGCGGGGGGAGGGGAAAGGGTGGAAACCCGGAAGTGGGCTCTACCATCTTCTCGGAGCCGGGGTGGGACGGAAGGAGAAAGTAATGCTGCAAGTAAACGAGTTCCTCGTTGGGGACCCACTACCCAGAAACTCCCCATGGTACAGCTCTGGCAAATGAGTTCCACCTACTCTTGGCTTGTGGATTTTAACTTCCCGTCCGTGTCTTCGAACTTCACCCTCCCCCACAGCTTCCTGGATGATAGAAGTTTCTTAAGGCCTCTGATTCCAGAAGGTACTGTCTGGCGTCAAACTAGTCTCGGGTGAAAAATAAGTCTCACGCGCCCCGGACTGCTCATGCGCGCACTGTTGCGCCCTCCCGCGAGCGGAAGGCGTGTTCTCGGTTCCGGCGCGGTCTCCACCGGTTGGGGGAAAGTAACCACTGCTCTTGCACCATGGCGTCGGTCGGGACCCTCGCCTTCGATGAATATGGGCGCCCTTTCCTCATCATCAAGGATCAGGATCGCAAATCTCGTCTTATGGGACTTGAGGCTCTCAAGGTAACGGGACGGACGCTGGCGGTGGCATGAGGGGAGGCGGCCGAAGCTCGTGGCTCTGCGCCTGCGCAAGCCTGGGAGCGGTTCCGCCATGTGCTCCCCGGAAAGGTCGGGGACCCCGTCCCGTCTCTGGCCCTGCACCCCGCTCCTTGAGCTCGGGTGAGGCCAGCGTGGAAGCCTTTAATCTCATTTTGGGGTTTGGGGTGGAGCTGCTGGCACCCGTCAGCGTTGGGTGGGGCAGTTCAGTGCCTGGGCTGCGAGCCCACCTCCAGCCCCTGGTCGTTCGTAGAGTGTTTTCATCGGGAGGAGGCAGGGATGGTATTCTCTGGTCACCTGGCCAGGGAACAAGCCACAGCCCCCAAAGGATGAGGCTCCCTTTCTTTGTCACTTATTAGAGGTTTAGTCGTTTACGAAGTATTTAATTTCTCAGCACCTTTATACGTGGCGTGGTACTGGATGTGGTGTCGTAAAAACGAAAACCGTGTGCCATTAGAGAAGAAAATACCACCGCCTGCGTGGAAGGTGGACACCCATGACCATGATGCAAGGAATAGGAGGCAGCGTGTGGATGCGGATAAAAGGTGGAGGGTGGCTTTTGATCAGAGGTGGGGTCACTGTTTTTGAATGTGGCAGAGGTAGCGTTTGGGGGAGAGGGGACAGCAAAGGCAAAAAGCTGGGTGGAAAGACGCGAGGTACACTGTAGAGGGAAGGAGCAATGTGGTTTTCAGTGGAGCCCAGTCTCGTTTAAGTCAACAGCAGTTCCCTGAAGGTGGAAGCTTGAATGCCTCACAGTCAAGATGTTAAACCCTGGGAGGGAGGGGAGCCAGTAAGGGGGTTTTGAGCAGAACCGCAATTCAGGTAGAACTGTACTTTAGGAAGTTGGGTCTGGTGGATGAAAGGGAACAGGAGGGACCAGAGGAGTTAAACCAGGAGCAGGAGTCCAGGTGAGAAAGTCATCCGAACACAGGTGTTGGCAGAAAATGCAGTGGAAGCTTTGAGAGGACATTAGGGTTTGTTAAAAGTAAGGTCGCATCTCCGGGGCTGAGGTGTCTCAGTTCACTTGGCGTCTTTGTATTTGAAACAAGTGAAGAAGCCATACAGTCCCCACTGTTTGCACAACGTCTCCGAATCTCGTTTCTCAGTGTGGGTAGTACACCTCCCTCAGGCTAAGGATGAGGGTTACGTGGGGTCACTCCAGGAGGGACCATGGTTCAGGCAGGTGGTGCAGCTTGTCAGTGAAGAAAGGGGCAGGATTCAAGCACACCTCTGGCTGACTCCAGAACCGATGGTCTAAAGCCAGAGTTCTCAGCTTTGACATTGTTAATATTTGGGGGACCAGATCATTCTTTGTTTGCGGGCCCCTCCTGTACAGGACGTTGAGCAGCAGCTATGCCTCTACGTACTCCATCCATGGCAGTAGCAGCCCCCACCCCATTTGTTACAACCCAAGATGTCTGCAGGCCATGCCAGATGTCTCCTGAGGGACAGAGTCATCCCTGGTTAAGAACTGCTTACCTGTGATGATGATCCTTTAAAAATTCCATTACACAGACAGATCCTTCAGTGTGTCTCTTAATGACCAACATTTTCACAGATCCTATGAAGTTTGTCTTTTCCTACCTGCCAGGTGGAGTAACCCGGGAGGGCTTCACAGAACATGTGCATTTGAACTGCTTTGAAAGTTGGGGTTTTGATGAGCAGAGCAGCTTCTATGCACCGTACTGCTTCAGGGAACAGAGGACATATTTGGGGAACAAGCATGGACCGTCGTCACTGGAAGGGAAAGTAGCTCTCAGGTTGCAGAGGGCATTAAAGAAAACACTGAAGCTTTCAGACTTCAGTGTTGAGGCACTAGGGAGTCATTTAAGGTTTGCGACTGGCAACTGACATGTTTGAGAAAAATGGGTGGGTTAGCTGGTTGTCAGATGAATCTAAAGGATGGAAGTACATAAGAGACCCTGGATTTCTGTAGGGTGCTGTGGATCCAGGTTAGGTTGGTGACAGCGAGACTGGGAGCAAAGGAACATTTGGAGGGAAAATGAGCCTGGTTGTGGCGCAAACAGGAAGGGATACTTGCAAGTTGCCATTACTTTACTGATACTCTTGGCACATGACAAGGGTGACTTTTCACATGTAGGCCATGTCCTGGCTCGACCATGGAATAGAAGGGTACATTTCTGCAGTACACACTGTAGTGTGATAATTCAAGGTGCTGTACGTGTACATCTGGACTCTTCGTATGAGGTTAGCATTGCAAAGTGGTCTTCCATGGCCTGTCTGGTCAGACTGCCCGTGCTCTCAGCTGTAGAAGAACCTGCCTTGTAGATGTGCTGAGTTAAAGCACTAGGTTCTGCTGCTTGTACATGAGAATGATCTACTAAAGCTGGTGGCTGTGAAGGTTACCACACTTATTTAGACTTGCATGTTGCCACTTAAATGTGAAAGCTTTTAGAGAACAGAAACTATGTATAAATAGATTTTTATAATCATTAGTTGTGTGGTTTTAACTATTAAAATACATAACTTGGACATTTGTTTTTGTTTCTTTTTTTAAAGGAGCTTATTTTGTATGTTTCTGTTTTTAAGATACTTATTTATTTGACAGAGAGCGAGACAGCGACAGAGGGAACACAAACGGGGAATGGGAGAGGGAGAAGCAGCTCCCTGCTGAGCAGGGCTCGATCCCAGGGCCCTGGGGTCATGATCTGAACCGAAGGCAGACCACTGAGCCACCCAGGCACCCCTTGAACATTTGTTTTTTTCTGTTTGTTTCATTTTTCAGTCTCATATCATGGCGGCAAAGGCTGTAGCAAATACAATGAGAACATCACTTGGACCAAATGGTAAGAGACTACCTTTCTAAAGTGTTTTTTGACGAATGTTATCAATTATAGACAATTGATACAACCCTTTTATAAAGTTGGGATGTGGGGCAGGTGGCATCCTAGGTCCCCACCTCTAACAAACTTGTTTTGTGTATTCCAGGCTTTCAACGTGTTCATGATCATAGGTGCATATGGTTTTATGTCAGGATTTTTTTTCTCCTTTTTCACATCATTTCATTAGCATTTTCCACATCATAGTTGTGCTACATTCAGTGATGCTCCTTTTTTTCCTCCCATTTCTCTGGCTTTAGCCCTTTAGATTGCTTCCAGCGTCTTGCTTTGTATTCGCCAGCCTAAAAGAATGTTTGCTTGTAGATACTCTTTTATGTGCGTTAAATTTTTATAACAAGTTCTATAAATAGGAATTGCGTCAAGAGACCTAATTTTTTTTTTTATAACTTTTGGTACAGATTTTGTTTCTGTTCTTTTCCCTAATGCCATTATAAACATTGCCGTCTTTCTAGGGCTTGATAAAATGATGGTGGACAAGGATGGCGACGTGACAGTGACAAATGACGGTGCCACCATTCTAAGCATGATGGACGTGGATCACCAGATTGCCAAGCTGATGGTGGAGCTCTCCAAATCACAGGACGATGAAATTGGAGATGGGACCACGGGGGTGGTTGGTAAGAAAGCAAAATAGCCTTTCTCACAGCCTGCTCAGAAGTATTAGTTAAAATCACACACACCTGCCAAGAATGTTTGCTCTGAATCAGATTGTGAGGAGACCGTCATGCAAATCCAGGTTGAAGGACATGGCTCAATATAAGGCCCAAAAGTCCTTTTCCTGGAAGAACAAGAAGGGGTTGGGGGAGCATTTAACAACTGTTCTAAATCAAGGGAGCCAAAACGAAATGGCACCCAGCTGTAGTGCATAACACTTGAGTGGATGTGGGTGCTTTTTTGTTTTCTTTGGTTTTTGTTTTGTTTTAACCGTGAGGGATGTTTGGGATACATGGGAGGATGTGTGGCTCGCGCGTTGCAGAGTAGTGCCCCGTTAAGTTTCCTGAGCGTGACAGTTACATTATAGTGCTACAGGAGAACGCCCTCGTACTTGGAGCCGGATGCTCAGATACTTAGCGATGGCGTATTAAGTGATTTTTGCAACTAACTGTCATGTGGTTGAACAGAATTACATGTGTGCCTTCGTAGAGAAAACAAATGTGGCAAAATGGTGTTAGTAAACTATTCATTTTACTATTCTTGTACTTTTCCTGAAGGTCTGAAATACTTAAGTTTCGGAAGGTGGAAGAGGGAAAGAATTACTTTAATGTTACCTTTTCTGCAGATGAAATTTGAATTCATTTATTCAACAAATATTTAGCGGGTCCCCAGCACTATGATGGATGGGCTTGGAGTGTGGCAGTGTTAAAACAAACGATATTCTTCCTCTGCGTGACACTAAAACAAGGGGGAGCAAAGATGGTGGGGAGGATAAGTCGTAAGTTCTTCAATGCTCTTACCGCCAGCAGATGTCACTGAGTGGAAATCCTTGGCCTGGGAGGGGCCCTTGGCTGGCTCACTTGGAAGAGCAGGC